ATTTTTTTTTTTAAGAGATGGGGTCTCCAGCCTGGCCAACATGGTGATACCCCGTCGCTAATAAAAATACAAAAAAATGAGCCAGGCATGGTGGTAGGTCCCTGTAGTCCCAGCTACTCAGGAGGCTGAGGCAGGAGAATTGCTTGAACCCAGGAGGCGGAGGCTGCAATGAGCCGAGATTACGCCATTGCACTCTAGCCTGGGCAACAGAGTGAGACTCCATCTCGAGGGGGAAAAAAAAGAGATGGAGTCTCACTGTGTCACCCAGGCTGGCATCAAACTCCTGATCTCAAGTGATCCTCTCACTTCAGCCTCCCGAAGTGCTGGGATTACAGGCGTGAGCCACCATGTCTGGCCTCTGTGCAGGCAGTGACTCATACCTGTAATCCCGGCACTTTGGGAGGCTGAGGCAGAAGAATTGCTTGAGCTGAGGAGTTTGAGACCAGCCTGGGTGATACAGTGAAACCTTGTCTTTGCTAAAAATAAGAAAACTAGGCGTGGCGCGGTGGCTTACACCTGTAATTCCAGCACTTTGGGAGGCCGAGGCCGGCAGCTGAGGTCAGGAGTTTGAGACCAGCCTGACCAACATGGAGAAAAACCCTGTCTCTACTAAAAATACCAAATCAGCCGGGCATGGTGGTACACACCTGTAATCATAGCTACTTGGGAGGCTGAGGCAGGAGAATCACTTGAACTGGGGAGGCGGATGTTGCGGTGAGGTGAGATCACTCCACTGCCCTCCAGCCCGGGCAACAGAGCGAGATTCCATTTCAAAAAAAAAAAAAAGAAAAGAAAATCAGCTGGGCATGGTGGTGCGCACCTGTAGTCCCAGCTACACGGGAGCCTGGGAGGTGGCATTTGAATTAGCTGAGATCATGCAACTGGTGACAGAGTAATAGCCTGGGAAAAGGAGAGGGAGGGGAGAGAGGTGAGGGGAGAAGAGAAGGGAAAGGAAGGCCAGGTGCGGTGGCTCAAGCCTGTAATCCCAGCATCACTTGAGGTCAGGAGTTTGAGACCAGCCTGACCAACATAAAGAAACCCTGACTCTACTAAAAATACAAAATTAGCCAGGTGTGATGGCGGGTGCCTGTAATCCCAGTGCCTCAGGAGGCTGAGGCAGGAGAACTGCTTGAACCCGGGAGGCCGAGATTGCAGTGCGCTGAGATCACATCACGGCACTCCAGCCTGGAAAGGGAAAAAGAGGTTGCATTGCTTGTGGTGGTGCAGGCTGCAGGGGCATGACATCGGCATCTGCTTGACTTCTGGGGACGCCTCGGGAGCTTCCCACGGGGGCGGCGGTGGTGGCAGAAGGCTGAGGGGAAGTCAGGGTGTCCACGGTTAGGGAGGAAGCAAGAGAGAGGGACTGAGAGAGACCAGGAGCCAGACCGAGTGGATTGAGTGGTGCTGACCGGGGTTTCCTGGGGAAGGAGATTGCAGGCGGGAAACACTCACTGCTGTGGCTGTGGGTCACGGGAGCGTGTCCTGCTGGTCACTCGTGATTGCTGGGCCAGTGACAGAAGCAGCTGGTCAGGCACAGACAGGGCAGGAGAGGGCTCCCTGGCCCGCACACCAGGAGTGTCGGTGACCATCAGGTGACGGTCGGGCCGTTGTTAAGTGCTTCGCTAAAATAATGATTGGTTGCAGCCAGGGCCAGGGAATGGCCGGCTCCCAATAAAGAGCAAACACCTGAACCCGGTGTCGGCCGCTTCCCGGGAAGGTCTCAGGAGCCGGTGAGCGGGCGGGGGCGGGCACACTAAGAGGTGAAAGGGCGGAGTTTAACTGGCCCGTGACCTTCAGGGCACGTATGTTGGTCATGGAGAGCTCCTCAAGTGAGGACCCGCACAACTCCAGCAAACGCTCAACACACGCTCCCCTCCTGAGTGCCAGCAGGCCCCTGCACGTGTAGACAGCCCACACACGGGCGGAATCACGGGAGAAGGGACAAGAGACAGGCCCCAAGTCAAAGGTCAAACTGGCCAGGCGCAGTGGCTCACGCCTGTAATCCCAGCACTTTGGGTGGCTGAGGTGGGCGGATCACGAGGTCAAGAGATCGAGACCATCCTGGCCAACATGGTGAAACCCCGTCTCTACTAAAATACACAATTAGCTGGGTATGGTGGTGCCTGCCTGTAATCCCAGCTACTTCGGAGGCTGAGGCAGGAGAGTTGCTTGAACCTGGGAGGCAGAGGTTGCGGAGAGCCGAGATCTCACCACTGTACTCCAGCCTGGCGACAGAATGAGACTTCGTCTAAACACACACACACTCGCACACACACAAACTGGTCTTTCTTTTTTTTTTTTTTTTTTGAGACGTAGTTTCACTCTTCTTACCCAGGCTGGAGTGCAATGGCACGATCTCGGCTCACCGCAACCTCCGCCTCCTGGGTTCAGGCAATTCTCCTGCCTCAGCCTCCCTAGTAGCTGGGATTACAGGCACGTGCCACCACACCCAGCTAGTTTTTTGTATTTTTAGTAGAGACAGGGTTTCACCATGTTGACCAGGATGGTCTCGATCTCTCGACCTCGTGATCCACCCGCCTCAGCCTCCCAAAGTGCTGGGATTACAGGCTTGAGCCACCGCGCCCGGCTTAAACTGGTCTTTCAAATTGCCTGCTTGGGTCCTTTCAAAGTGTAGTTGCTTTCATTTGGTTCCTGCTCTAAAGCTGCTTATTTTTATTTGTTTATTATTAGTATTTTTGAGACAGGTTCTCACTCCGTCACCCAGGCTGGAGTATAGTGGAGCAATCTCGGCTCACTGCAGCCTCCACCTTCCAGGTTCAAACGATTCTCCTGCTTCAGCCTCCTGAGTAGCTGGGGTTACAGGTGCCCGACACCACACCTGGCTAATTTTTCTATTTTTAGTAGAGACGGGGTTTCACCACGTGAGCCAGGCTGGTCTTGAACTCCTGATCTCTAGTGATCCACCTGCCTCAGCCTCCCACAGTGCTGGGATTACAGGCGGGAGCACCGCGCCCAGCTAATTTTTTGTATTTTTAGTAGAGACGGGGTTTCACCATGTTGACCAGGATGGTCTCGATCTCTTGACCTCGTGATCCACCCGCCTCGACCTCCCAAAGTGCTGGGATTACAGTCTTGAGCCACCACGCCCAGCTAAAGCTTTATAATAAAAGATCACTCCTGCTCTAAAACTTGCCTCAGTCTCTCGTTCTGCCGCATGCCCCTCCATCGAATGTTCTCTTCTGGGGAGGCCAGAACCGGGGTTGCTGCAGACCCACAGGGATTCGCTGCCGCCCGCAGACCTGGAGGACGCGCCCCCTGGCAAGCAGATGCCGTGCTGGCTGTGCTGGGGGAGGTCTGTGGGGGCTGCACCCTCTCTCGGCTGTTCTGGGGCTGCTCTCTAACAGACCCCAAACCCCCAACCCTGCCGGCCAGGGGAGGGCACCGGAGACCTGATGTGGAGTCAGGCACTGGGTTCTCTCCCAGTGTCTCAGGTGGCTTCGGCCCCTCAGCATCTTCCCTGGGGGCTGCTGCCCTCGGGCGGGCTGTGATGCCACGTGGGCCGGGGTGGGGCCGGGCTGGGGTTGGGGAAGGTCTGTGGTTCCCGCTGTCTCCTTCATCTCTGTCTGCCAGGCCAAGAAGGGCGTGGGGTGAGGTCAAGAGTAGCCAGGTGGGGTCTGCACTGGGGTCCAGCACTGAGAGTCGCCTCCAGCAGCATCCAGATGTTTGGGGACATGGGTGCTAGGGGGCTGGCGGCGGAGGGCTCCTGGGTCCTCACGACCCTCTTCTGTGGGGAGCACGAAATACTGGGGCACTTCAGGGTCTCAGAGACAGATTAAAGGGGTTTGTCGAGTTCTCATTCCTCAGAGCTGGTGACAAGTCCAAGCTGGGCCATGTTTTCTTTTTCCTTCTTTCTTTTTTTTAAATAAAGATGGGGTTTCACACCATGATGGCCAGGCTGGTCTTGAACTCCTGACCTCAGATGATCCACCCACCTCGGCCTCCCAAAGTGCTGGGATTACAGGCTTGATCCACCGCGCCCAGCCCTTCTCTCCCCCTTTTTTTTTTTTTTGAGACAGAGTCTCAGTCTTTCACCCTGGCTGGAGTGCAGTGGTGCAATCTCCACTCACCGCAACCTCTGCCTCCTGGGTTCAACCGATTTTCCTGCCTCAGCCTCCTGAGTAGCTGGGATGACAGGCGCCCACCACCACACCTGGCTAGTTTTTGTATTTTTAGTAGACATGGGGTTTCACCGTTTTGCCCAGGCTGGCCTTGAACTCCTGACCTTGTGATTCACCCACCTTGGCCTCCTAACGTGCTGGGATTCCAGGCGTGAGCCACCGTGCCCAGCTGGGTTATGAGTTCTTGCCTCCACCCCAGCACCTCCAGACAGCAGAAGGTCCTAGAGAGGTCCGCGGACCGAGGCTGCTGGTGGTGGCCTGGGCCTGAGACTCGCACTCTCTCCTGGAACTGGTTCTGGTCACCCCCGGCCATCGCGGGGCACTCTGGATTGTCTTAGGGAGGTGGACATTTTGGGCCAAAGAGTAGAACGGGCTCCAGGCACCGAGAAGTGAATCCTTCATTCTCCAGAAAGCTGGGTGTCCCAGGTGAGGGTGAGGGAGGGGAGCTGACTGGAGAAGAGGGGTGGCCGTCCTGAAGAAGGCACACCCCTCCCTCCCCAGCTGGGATGCTGCTGCTGCCTCCTTTCGCTGCATTGACCATTTCTCAGAACCCCCCTTGGGGGTGGCCTCGGTTCACACACTGTGTTTCTGTGCCCGGGACCTGGTCCCGCCAGGGGGAGCTCAGCCCTTGGCCCTATCTGCCCTCAGCACTCTGAGGTCTGTTCCTGAGTGTGCCCAGCAGGGGCTGCCCCGCCCGCCTACTTCCTCTGTCTGAGAGATAAATGGGCGCTGAGGCAGGTGGGGAGGAGGCCGAAAAACCCGGGGAGTGAGGACGCAGGTCACTCCGACACCCCTCTCTGTTCCCAGAACCCAGCTGGGGCTCAAGTCGCCTCACCCCAGGCCCCAGCTTTCTCCCCACAGATGCTGTGGCTGCTGCTCCTGACCCTCCCCTGCCTGGGGGGCTCTGTGCCCGGGAACCCAGGCGAGTCCACCCCACCCAATGCCCCCGCTGCCCAGGACCCCGTCCCTGCCCTGCCCCGGGCTCAGAGCGCCAGCCCTGGGGGGTGAGAGGACCGTCTGGTTGCCAAGTCTGTCCTGGTGTCCCGAGCTCTAGGAGGACCCTCGTCCGGCCCCCTCATGGCCCTCCCTTGCCTCCCCAGAGCCGGGCACGGGGCGTGAGCAGGTGGGCATCGTCGGGGGCTGTGACGTCTCAGCCAGCAGGTACCCCTGGCAGGTCAGCCTGAGGTTCTACAACATGAAGATGGACAAGTGGGAGCACATCTGCGGGGGCTCCCTCATCCACCCCGAGTGGGTGCTGACCGCTGCCCACTGCCTTGGGCCGTGAGTGGGGCCTGCCGTCCACCGGGCGGGTGGGAGTCGGGGTGGGGACAGGCAGGTGTCCTGTGTGCCGGGGGCCCCTCCCAGGATGCAGGGGAAGCCCGGCCTCACTCTGAGAGGCGCCTGCTCCTCTCCCCAGGGAGGAGCTGGAGGCCTGTGCGTTCAGGGTGCAGGTCGGGCAGCTGAGGCTCTATGAGGATGACCAGCGGACGAAGGTGGCCGAGATCCTCCGCCACCCCCAGTACAACGAGAGCCTGTCTGTCCAGGGCGGCGCGGACATCGCCCTGCTGAAGCTGGAGGCCCCCGTGCCGCTGTCTGAGCTGGTCCACCCCGTCTCGCTCCCGCCTGCCTCCCTGGACGTCCCCTCGGGGAAGACCTGCTGGGTGACCGGCTGGGGTGACATTGGACATGGAGGTCAGGAGCAGGGTTACCTGGGCGGGGATTTGGGGAGATGGCGTGGAGTGTCGGTGCAGATGACCCCCATTCGGCTTCCTGCCGCTGCTGAGACAGGTGACCACAGGCAAGGTCGCTCGAAGCAGCAGGAATCGATATCTCTCCGTTCTGGAGGTGAAACGTCCAAACTCCAGGCATGGGCAGGGCTGGCTTCCTTCAGAGGCCCCGAGGGAGAGCCCAGTCCAAGCCTTCCCAGCTTCTGGGGTCTCCGGCCGTCCCCGACTCCCTGGGCTTGTGGTCCTGTCCTCCAGGCTCCCTCCCTCCTCCTCCAAGGACACTGGGTGGTGGATTGAGGGTGTCTCTGACCTAGCAGGACACCATCTTAACTCGAGTCCATCTGCAAAGGCCCTACTTCCAAACAAGGTCACAGCGACAAGTTCTGGAGGTGTGACTTGGGGGTGCTCCTGGCCGCCTCCTGACGGCCACTTTGTGAGCCTGCTCCATCCTCAGCAGCAAAGAAACCCTGAGTGAAGGGGGGGTGGGAACCCGTCCTGGACCCCGCCGCGCCCCAGCACCCGGAGCTGACTGCCCTCATACCCATCGTATCTCGGTCCAGCGGGATTCCTGGTGCCACGATCTTCCCTAATAGTTTCTTTCTTAAAATTTTTTATTTACAAAATTGCTTTTGAGGCAGGGTCTGGCTCTGTCACCCAGGCTGGAGTACAATGGTGTGATCATAGCTCACTACAGCCTCCAGCTCCCAGGCTCAAGTGATCCTCCCACCTCAGCCTCCTGAGTAGCTAGAACCACAGCGTGAGCCACCACACCTGGCTAATTTTTGTTCTTTTTGTAGGGACAGAATTTTGCTGTGTTGCCCAGGCTGGTCTCGAACTCCTGGGCTCGAGCGATCCTCCCGCCTCAGCCCTCCGAGTATCTAATAGCTGAGACTACCGGTGTGCGCCACCACGCCTGGCTGATTTTACTTTATTTTAATTTTTGAGATGCAGTCTCTTTCTGTTGCCCAGGCTGGAGTGCAGTCATGCGACCTCAACTCATTGCAACCTCTGCCTCCTGGATTTAAGCGATTCTGGAGGAGCCCACCACCATATCCAGCTAATTTTTGTATTTTTAGTAGAGACGGGGTTTCACCACATTGCCCAGGCTGGTCTCGAACTCCTGGGCTCAAGTGATCCTCCCACCTCAGCCTCCCAAAGTGCTGGGGTTACAGGCGTGAGCCCCCCATGCCCTCCCCCTCGTAGTTTCTAAGAGTGAGTCCTGCTGTTCTGGGATCTGGTGCCCAGGACGGTGGCCTCCAGGCTGACCTCGGGGCCAGGGAGGGCCCAGCTCTGAATGAATTGTATGCCGTAGCTCTGGATAAGACGCAAAGCCGGAGCCTGTCCCTGCCAGGCCCCTGAGCCTCCCCGCGCCTCTGCCTGCAGAACCACTGCCCCGGCCCCTCAGCCTGCGGGAGGCGAAGGTGAAGGTCAGGAGCAACGCCGTCTGCAACCAGATATACTGCCACCGTTTTCCATCCAACAACACCGCGCGGTTTGAGCAGGTCATCAAGAACGGCATGCTGTGTGCAGGGGACGGGAACCACGGCCCCTGCCGGGTGAGACCCCGGGTGCACCTGTCTGTCCCCTCCTGGGGACGCCATCCCGTGGCTGTGGGGCACATGGGGAGCCCTTGCTGAGCGCCATCTCTCCCCACAGGGCGACGCCTGGGGGGCCCCTTGTGTGCAGGTGGAATTGCACCTGGGTCCAGGTAGGGGTGGTGAGCTGGGGCACCTCCTGCGGTCACGGCGACTTCCCCGGGGTGTACGCCCGCGTGATGAGCTACGTGTCCTGGATCCGCCAGCACGTCCCTCCCTTCCCCGGGGCTGCAAGGGGTCCACGTGATGGAGGAGACCCCGCCTCCCGTGTGGACACCCCCCGCCCCTCCCCAGTTCCAGCCTGACCATCCTGGCACCCAGTGGTCCTCCACCTGGCACCCACATTTCCACTGCCCTTTCCTGCCCCTCATCCACATCCTGTCCTTCTCCAGGGAGAGCACTGGGTGGCTCTGGAGGCTGGTGTCTCCAGGAAGGCGGGTGTGTGAGGGGAGCTGAGGCCCCTGCTCTCCCACCGCCGCCTGCCCGGCCTGTGACTCTGATTAAACGGTGTGTAAAGCAGCATCCATGTGGCCGAGTGCGTTTGTCCACAGGGGTGGAGCGGCTTCCCTTTGGGTCTCTAAGCTCGAGTCCGTCCTCAGTGCAGCAGGGAGCTGGGTGTGGGTGGTGGCTGTTCCAGGGTGCTGCGGGTGCTCGGCCTGGCTGGCACTTCCCTGCTGCCTCCCCCACCCCACTGGCAATAGTTGATCCTGGACCAAGGCCTTGGGTGTGGAGTTGGATAAGGGGGTGGCGTCCACAGTGGGAGGTAGGAGCTGTGTCCGAAGACTGAGTGGGTGCTGTGGCGCTGGCAGTGGAGACGTCTGCAGGGTGCACTGGAGCAGGCTGGGATGGGGGTCCCAGGTGTCCCTGGACCAGCTGAGGGGCTTTACCAGTGGGAGCTGCTTGGGCTGGATGGTGACGCCGAGGCTGGCTCCCCCGGGGGTAGGGAACTGACGGGGTCACAGGGATGTGCCCAGTGGGATGATGACCAGGCTCCAGTGTCGTGTCTCCATTCTCCTGCAGTGGCACCTGGCTTGCAGGAGGGTCAGGGTCGCTGGGGGGTGGTGCGGGGCTTGGTTCAGCCCCCACTCCCCTGGAACTTGGCTCGGGGCTCCCACCCCTACCGTCTGCGATCCAGGGTGTGGCGTTCCCTCTGGGAGCCCTTCCATGCTCCGGTCCTGGGATTCAGAGGCCACCGTGGAGCGCTCTCTGCCCCCAGGGGCCTGATGCATACGTTCCTTGAGGGAGGGCCCATACCTGTACTTCCGCCGGTCCAAATCAGAAAGGACAGACACCCCCGGAGCCCGACAGCCTCCTGCAGGCAGTGGGGGTCCCAGGCCTGTCAGGGTGGGTCAGCATGGGTCGGGGCTGCTGGCCGGGCTGGGCCAGGTGTCCACCTGTGGCCCAGAGCATCACCTGCGTGCCACCTTGTTCATTTCCCATTCACTCTCAGCTTCAGGCTGAAAATATCCAACCGTGAGGTCTGCCAGGTGCTGACTTCTCCTGGGAAGGGGCAATTCTTCCAAGGGGACCCCAACTTCCGCTGTGCCTTCCTGGGCTGGCACCCAGCTGTGCCGCATCTGTGGATGCCCACAGCACTGAGCAAAGGCCCTTCTGGTGCCTCTTGCTGGAAAGCCAAGGTCTGGGGGCGGCCCTAGTAATGGGAAGTGGTGAGGCAGCCTGCTGGGGTGTTGGGGAGAGGACTGGGGGGCTACACCCTCTCTCTGTTCTGGGGCTGGTCTTTAACAGACCCCAAACTCTCCATCTTCACCCAGCCCTCGGCCAGGAGAGGGCGCCGGAGACCTGACCAGAGGAGGGAGGCTGGCACCTGCCGGGTCCGGAGTGGGGCACAGGGTTCCCCCGGTATCTCAGGCAGCATCAGCCCCTCAGCATCTTCCCTGGGGGCTCCTTGGGTGGGTGGTGATGCCACATGGGCAGGGGTGGGGCAGGGGCCGAGGTTGGGTAATGCCCATTGTTCCCGCTGTTCCTTTATCTCGGTCAGCAGCTCTACATCAAGCAGGGATGAGAAGGGTGTGGGGTGAGGCTCCTGGGTGGGGTCTCCCCCCAGGGGGCTCAGCACAGTTCTGGGGGTCTCTCGTGTTAAGGCCTCTGGGGAATTTGGTGCTAGGGGCCTGTGAATATCTGCGCGTTCACCGTCTCTTGGAGAAGCAGAAGAATCACACAGCTCCGTGCTCTCCATGTCACAGAAAACTGTCCCTGGCCATTTCCAGCTTAGTGCCTTTTTTTTTTTTTTTTTTTCCGAGACGGAGTTTCGCTCTTGTTACCCAGGCTGGAGTGCAATGGCGCGATCTCGGCTCACCGCAACCTCCGCCTCCTGGGTTCAGGCAATTCTCCTGCCTCAGCCTCCTGAGTAGCTGGGATTACAGGCACGCACCACCATGCCCAGTTGATTTTTTGTATTTTTAGTAGAGACAGGGTTTCACCATGTTGACCAGGATGGTCTCGATCTCTTGACCTCGTGATCCACCCGCCTCGGCCTCCCAAAGTGCTGGGATTACAGGCTTGAGCCACTGCGCCCGGCCTTTTTTTTTTTTTTTTTTTTTTGACATGGAGTCTCGCTCTGTCTCCCAGGCTGGAGTGCAGTGGCGTGAACTCTGCTCACTGCAACCTCCGCCTCCTGGGTTCAAAGCGATTTTCCTGCCTCAGCCTCCTGAGTAGCTGGGACTCCAGGTGCCCACCACCACGCCCAGCTCATTTTGTATTTTTAATAGTGACGGGGTTTCATCATACTGGTCAGGCTGGTTTCGAACTCCCGACCTCAGGTGATCCACCCACTTCAGCCTCCCAAAATGCTGGGATTACAGGCATGAGCCACCGCACCTGGCCCTCCATCTTGGTGTTTTTAGGGGTTCACACACCACACAGGGCACTTTGAACAAATCCTCCACAGGGTAAGACATTTCAGAACATCCATCAAGTCTGCAGTCCACTCCAGCTGCTCTGATGTGCCTGTGGTCTGCACACACATGAGAGTCCGATGAAGCCAATGGCCTCAGTGTTTCACTTCCACGCCTAGAGAGGACAAGGCCCTCCCAGAGGCCAGGTTTCCTGCACCTTCTATCAGGCATCACTCCACGCCTTCTGGTTCTTGGAGAGAAGGCAGGCGCCCTCTTCCCCGCCAGGTGTGGGCCTCAGGCTCCACAAGCACACCCTTTAATCCTCAAAACAACTGGTGATCCTGAAGAGGGGGAAGGAGATAGTGAAATGGAACCTGCCTGTTCTGAGAAATTTCAAATAATCTTGGCCGGGAGCAGCGGTTCACACGGGTCATCCCAGCACTTTGGGAGGCTGAGGCAGGCAGGATCACAAGGTCAGGAGTTTGAGGCCAGCCTGGCCAACATGGTGACAACCCACCTCTACTAAAAATTAAAAAATTAGTTGGGTGTCATGGTGGGCACCTGTAATCCCAGCTACTCAGGAAAATCTCTTGAACTTGGGAGAAGAAGGGCTGCACAGTGAGCCGAGATCACGCCACTGCACTCCAGCCTGGGCAACAGAGCGAGACTCCATTGCAAAAAAAACAAAAACAGAAACAAAACCAAAACGAGTGGGGTGTGGTGGGGGGCACCTGTAATCCCAGCTACTCGGGAGGCTGAGGCAGGAGAATCGCTTGAACCCGGGAGGTGGAGGCTGCAGTGAGTTGAGATCCTGCCACTGTAACTCCAGCCTGAGAGAGAGACTCCATCTTAAAAAAGAAATCTTCCAGGTGTTTTAAAGACCGAGCTAAATAATTGATTGACTGAAATACAGTAACTAGCACCAGCTCCAGCAAGGGAAGAAGCGCCATGCCCCCTGTAGGCTTTATTTCAGGAGTGCCGTCAAGCTTCACACAGGGAAAGTGAGGCCCTGAGGGAGGAGGAGAGGAGATGGGGTGCTCAGTGTCCCGGTGCTGTGGCGCTGATTTAGAATCCGGGCAATGATCCTGATACTGAGCCCAGTGCGGACACTGCCTGCAGTTAAAGGAATCCACAGATTGAATGGCAGGAGGTGTGGCCTCACATCAGCTCCATAATCAGTCCCCACATCAAGCACGTCCCACTCTCCGTTCCTCTGCGGAAACCTCCCCCTCTTCTTGCCCCTCTACTGCTCCGTCCCTTTTAGAACATCTCAAGTCAGTGGGGATAATTCTGTTGGGATTTACGGTGGAATCACATCAAACCTGTGGGTCACTGTGGGAAGTAAAAACGTTCCTCGAGACTTTCCTTTCTTTTTCTTTTCTTTTTTTTTTTTTGGGGGGGGGCGGAGTTTCGCTCTTGTTACCCAGGCTGGAGTGCAATGGCGCGATCTCGGCTCACTTGCAACCTCCAGCCTCCCTGGGTTCAAGCAATTCTCCTGCCTCAGCCTCCTGAGTAGCTGGGATTACAGGCACGCGCCACCACGCCCAGCTAATTTTTTGTATTTTTAGTAGAGACGGGGTTTCGCCTCATTGACCAGGATGGTCTCGATCTCTTGACCTCGTGATCCACCCGCCTCGGCCTCCCAAAGTGCTGGGATTACAGGCTTAAGCCACCGTGCCCGGCCACTTTCCTTTCTTATTAAAGAATAAGTGTGCTAATAGCTTTGTTAAGCCCTATCCGATGGAGCTGGTAGACACGCCATGCTTACAGGCACGTAGTACATGCTATGTCCTTGTACTTTAACTAGGATCTCTGTGCTAGACCTGCTCACAGGCCTGTCCCAGCTCTCCACGGCATTCACCTGTTTAAAAAGTTTTAGGTTGTTAGCCAATCGGGTTTTAGTTTAGATTGTGAGGTCTGGCTCCAGCCAAAGGAGATCAGATGACCCCAAATGCGTGAGGGATAAATGTGTGCGTTTTCCTTTGTTTGCTGTACTCTCGGGGCAAGATGGTCAGTGAGGGTACCCTTCCTGCAGTCCAGGAGGTAAAGATTGCATTGCCGAAAGATCCTTTGTCTCAGTGCTGGTTTTTCTTTGCGGCACCGAGCATCTGTTTCCCATAGTCACGTTGGGAACCACTAACATCTCCGTGATGCCGTCCTTTTAGCCAAGATCGTGGTATCTCCCCATTAATTCAGGTCTCTTCCAAACTATATCCTAACAGTACACGCACATTCCCAGCCACATAATTCACAGCAGCCAAAAGGTGGGACCAACCCCTGTGTCCGTGGAGAGATGGATGGAAAAGCAAAAGGTGCTGTTGACGTTATTCGGCCTCAAAAGGAGAGGAAATTGACAGCACAATGTGGATGAAACTTGAGGACAAGACGCTCAGCGAAATAAGTCACAAAAAGACCACTAGTGCCTGATTCCACAGATACGAGCTACTTAGAGTAATCAAATTGAGCACGACAGAAAGCAGAACGGAGCTTACCAGCATTTTGGCGGCTATAATCAAGTTTACTTTTTCCAGCTGGGCATGGTAGCTCACACCTGCAATCCCAGCACTTTGGGAGGCTGAGAAGGGTGGATCACCTGAGGTCAGGAGTTCGAGACCAGCCTGGTCAACATGGCGAAACCCCATGTCTACTAAAAACACAAAAATCAGCTGGGTGTGGTGGCACATCCTGTAATCCCGGCTACTTGGAAGGCTGAGGCAGGAGAATTGGTTGAACCCGGAAGACAGAGTTTGCAGTGAGCCAAGATCGCGCCATTGGGCTCCAGCCTGCATGAGAGAGCAAGACTCCATCTCGGAAAATAAATAAATAAATAAATAAACAAACATTTGCATACAGGTTTTCATGTGGTTGTAATTCCCCCTGTGCACAGTAAGTTTGGTCTAACTGCATCCTCACCACCCACTGGTGCTGTAGGCTTTATAAAGATGCCCTTTTAATAGGTCTGTATCGATTTTACTTTGCATTTTCTCAATGGCTGATGATACTGAACTTTTCCCATGAAGTTATTTGCCATCCACATAGTGCCTTGTGTAGAGCGTTCAAATCTTTTAAATCATTATTTAAAGCGTTTTTATTTTCTCATTCTGCAGTTCTGAGATTTCTTTTTTTTTTTTTTTTTGAGACGGAGTTTCACTCTTGTTACCCAGGCTGGAGTGCAATGGCGTGATCTCGGCTCACCGCAACCTCCGCCTCCTGGGTTCAGGCAATTCTCCTGCCTCAGCCTCCTGAGTAGCTGGGATTACAGGCACGTGCCGCCATGCCCAGCTAATTTTTTTTTTTGTATTTTTAGTAGAGACGGGGTTCCACCATGTTGACCAGGATGGTCTCGATCTCTTGACCTTGTGATCCGCC